GTTTTTAAGATCACGCTGCTTAATAGATTCCGCTTTTATACACTTAATGCTGGCAGAGATTATTTTTAAAAAATATTATGTTAAAATGTACACGAACTAATGTTATATGTGTTTATTACAATATAACTAAAAGCAATAAATGTCAGAAAGTTTAACGAAATTCTTCATTTGTGCACAAATAGTTTTGTCAACTCTGTTTATCTATATATTTATATACGTAGATTATACGTTTGAAGAATAGAAATTTTCAAGCAGTGAATTTTATTCATAGCAATAATGATGAAGTTATTCTACATTTTGCTACACTTTTATTCAAGCTTTCATATATCTTTTCTCGAAAGCTAGTTTTCTTAATCTTATAAACGTGGATTTGATCATCAGTTAACAATAGTATTTACAACATAAGATGTTTAGAAAGCTACACTAAAACAACCATACATAAAACAAAGAAATAACACTGATATGGCTCAGCGCATTTTAATTGCTAAATTTGTAAAATATTCTTATGTACAATGTCCGTTGCAATTTGCAGCCTGAAATCAATTCTCGCTGTAAAGGGCTAAAAAGCGTTTATTCTAAGAATACTTCTTTTAGTGCTCTGTTTTACACGTTTATGTCAAACCGAAGATTTCGTTTGGTGTTCTATTCAACAACAGTTAATTGTGACTAAGTGCTTGAAACACTTAAAAATGAAGAAATTAATATAACAAACACACAAAAAGCTTTTGCCGAAAGAAAAGGACTTGTTCATATTCTTTGTAAAACTCTATTAAAGTCCATAAATTAGAAATCGGTATTTTGGTTGTCTGCACACATACAATAAGTTCTTGACTGGATAAGAAAACATTGTCTACCCATTTTGCAAATTGGCAGAATTTATAATTTTAAAAAAGTTTACTAAATAGTATACTATAGAAATCTCCTGTTTTGGTTTCTTTACTTACACAATACGTGCCGACTGGATAAAAAACAAAGCCTTCTTGGCGTCATTGATAATTTTGATCGTTTACGTTGCAAATCAATCTCTGGAAATTTAAAGTCGATTTTTATGTTCACTCCACTTTGGCGAGCGTTTGATGCAATGTGTTAGAAACTTCGAATTTTTTTATAAATTTCAGGATGAAAGGAAAACATAAAAAACATATTTTCGTCCCATGCTAATAATTATTAGCAATTAATAAAACAATATATATGGTTAAATAGCATTCTGTATACGTTTTATACATAGAATATATAAGAAAAGCTACAAACTTTAAAGAAACTACTTGAAAGGGAAAGCCAAAAAATTACACTCATACTTTTCTTGGGGAGACACGTAAAAACTGAAATGCTTCGAAATATTACTATACAAGTTATATACAATTGCTTGTAAAATATAGGTCATAACTGTCTGGTAGAAATAGTAATTCATTTTTATGTGATTTATATCAACTACACGACCATGAAACTTCTTAATTTCTTATTGGTTTTTACTTTGATAGGGATAAAGTTTTTATCGATTTTTAGCGTTACAACGAATAGTCTATTTCTATTATTGAATTCATACACAGATAATTGAAGTTTGTGTAATGCTGACGTTCTTATATGATGCATTACAACGTTTCAAATAAATTAATTTTGTATTGTATTATACATATTTCATTATGCCAAAAAATCTCGTTGCTGCCATCTAGATTTTTTCTTTATATCACTAGATTCTCCCAATCTTTGTTTTGTTTACACGAGTGCTTCCTTTATAATGGTATCACAAAATATTACATGTTTCTAGATTTAGATCGTCCAGGCTAGTAGAGGGCTGAGAAGGACTGTAGGTATTAATGTTAACTGAAGTTTCGACAACTTTAGCGGCAGTCCTCTTCAGAGTAAAGTGGACACTGATTAACGCCAGGCTTGCTGTATTTTTTATGTGCTTCATACATCAACGTAACTGTTCATTGACATGACACACCCACGAATTTCCGCTACACACAATATGATGACGCATTCACCAAACAGCAAATACGGCAAACCTGACGTTTATTCTTGATTTGATGCGAAAGAGGAAGTCCACAATTTACCTCAGGACTCTCCCAACCTGCATGATCTAAAAACATATAATGATACTCCTGGCTTCAAACCATTCATTTTATATAATATTAAAATACTCAACAGGAATATAGTTTGTTAATTTTATATTTTCTAGTTCATGTAACGTACACAAGTTCTTACACTGAGCAACTAACATTCCTGAATTATCAATAATATTGTCAAACGTTTTGGCTTGTTTTTATTGTTCTACAGTTCACATTTTTAATATTTTACGCTATTGCTGATTTACGCTTTAGGAGAATATTCTTAAATCCATAGTGCAAAAGATATTAAGTCATAATAGATAAATTGAACTAAGCAAGAAAGATTACGTTTCTTGAATTTTAGATGATTGCATTCACAGAATAAAGCTTGAGGTCACATATTTTTGATTGTACGTCAATGCATATTTTTGTCTTTTTTAATATTGTGAAGTGGACTGGAATACACTTATATTAAAAACTAATTTTCCAAAGTTTTTTAAGATCACGCTGCTTAATAGATTCCGCTTTTATACATTTAATGCTGGCAGAGATTGTTTTTAAAAAATATTTTGTTAAAATGTACACGAACTAATGTGATATATGTTTATTACAATACAACTAAAAGCAATAAATGTCAGAATGTTTAACGAAATTCTTCATTTGTGCACAAATAGTTTTGTCAACTCTGTTTATCTATATATTTTATACGTAGATTATACGTTTGAAGAATAGAAATTTTCAAGCAGTGAATTTTATTCATAGCAATAATGATGAAGTTATTCTACATTTTTTGCTACACTTTTATTCAAGCTTTCATATATCTTTTCTCGAAAGCTAGTTTTCTTAATCTTATAAACGTGGATTTGATCATCAGTTAACAATAGTATTTACAACATAAGATGTTTAGAAAGCTACACTAAAACAACCATACATAAAACAAAGAAATAACACTGATATGGCTCAGCGCATTTTAATTGCTAAATTTGTAAAATATTCTTATACAATGTCCGTTGCAATTTGCAACCTGAAATCAATTCTCGCTGTAAAGGGCTAAAGCGTTTATTCTAAGAATACTTCTTTTAGTGCTCTGTTTTACACGTTTATGTCAAACCGAAGATTTCGTTTGGTGTTCTATTCAACAACAGTTAATTGTGACTAAGTGCTTGAAACACTTAAAAATGAAGAAATTAATATAACAAACACACAAAAAGCTTTTAAGATCTTGTTCAATGTAAATATCTGCACATACAATAGGGTTTTTGACTGGATACAAAAGAAACATTACATTGTCTACCCATTTTGCAAATTGGCAGAATTTATAATTTTAAAAAAAGTTTACTAAATAGTATACTATAGAAATCTCCTGTTTTGGTTTCTTTACTTACACAATACGTGCCGACTGGATAAAAACAAAGCCTTCTTGGCGTCATTGATAATTTTGATCGTTTACGTTGCAAATCAATCTCTGGAAATTTAAAGTCGATTTTTATGTTCACTCCACTTTGGCGAGCGTTTGATGCAATGTGTTAGAAACTTCGAATTTTTTTATAAAATTCAGGATGAAAGGAAAACATAAAAAATATATTTTCGTCCCATAAGAATAGTTATTAGCTATTAATAGAACAATATATATGGTTAAATAACACTCTGAATGTTTTCTTATATGTAAAATATATAAAAAAGCTATAAACTTTAAAGAAACTACTTGAAAGGGAAAGCAATAAATTACACTTATACTTTTCTTGGGGAGACACGTAAAAACGGAAATGCTTCGAAATATTACTATACAAGTTATTCAAAAGCTTGTAAAATATAGGTTATAACTGTCTGGTAGAAATGGTAATTCATTTTTATGTGATTTATATCAACTACACGACCATGAAACTTCTTAATTTCTTATTGGTTTTTACTTTGATAGGGTTAAAGTTTTCATCGATTTTTAGCGTTACAAACGAATAGTCTATTTCTATTATTGAATTCATACACAGATAATTGAAGTTTGTGTAACGCTGACGTTCTTATATGATGCCTTACAACGTTTCAAGCAATTTAATTTTGTATTGTCTTATACATATTTCATTATGCCAAAAAAAATCTCGTTGCTGCCATCTAGATTTTTTCTTTATATCACTAAATTCTCCCAATCTTTGTTTTGATTGCACGAATGCTTCTTTTACAATGGTATCACAAATTATTACATGTTTGTAGATTTAGATCGTCCAGGCTAGTAGAGGGTTGAGAAAGACTTTAGGTATTAAAGTTGACTGAAGTTTTGACAACTTTAGCGGCAGTCCTCTTCAGAGTAAAGTGGACACTGATTAACGTCAGGTTTGCTGTATTTTTTATGTGCTTAATACATCAACGTAATTGTTCATTGACATGTACACACCCACGAATTTCCACTACACACAATATGATGACGCATTCACCAAACAGCAAATACGGCAAACCTGACGTTTATTCCTGACTTGATGCGTAAGAAGACATCCACAATTTACCTCAGGACTCTCCCAACCAGCATGATCTAAAAACATATAATGATATTCCTGGCTTCAAACCATTCACTTTGTATAATATTAAAATTCTTAACAGGAATATAGTTGTTCATTTTATATTTTCTAGTTCATGTAACGTACACAACTACTTATACTGAGCAAATAACAATCTTAAATTTTCAACAATATTGTCAAACGTTTTGGCTTGTTTTTATTGTTCTGCAGTTCAAATCTTTAGATTTTACGCTATTGAGTATTTACGCTGTAGGGAACAGCTCTGTTGCAGTTAAAGCTTAACAAAGAAGATATTAAGTCAAAATATATCAATTAAACTAAGCAAGGAAGATTAGGTTTCATTGGATTTTAGATGATTGCACTCACAGAATACAGTTTGAAGTCACATATTTTTGATTGTGCGTCAATGCATATTTTTGTCTTTTTTAACAGCACGTAATTGTGTGAAGTGGACTGGAATACACTTATATTAACAACTAATTTTCCAAAGTTTGTTACGATCACGCTACTTAATAGGTCCCGTTCTTTTACATTTCCACCCGTTTCGCTCATTCTAAATGGGTATTACTTAGAGTTCTAAACTTCAGAATACGGAAGATAGCCAAATTAGATTGCTTTCTGTGCAATCTAAAGGCTATGTTTGTCTCTCCTGACCTCAATATCTCCGGACACTGTGAGTGTGGTTCAGACAGAAAAGATGGAGCGGCAATCGTAGTGTAAAACCATACTCTTTGACTGTGAAGACATACTCTCGGCTGGGAATCTTAGTAAAGTCATACATTGAAAATTGTGCCATGTTACCAGGACAACTCTGCGTAAAATGTGTAGAAGATTGGATACCAGCAAAAAAGCAGAAATTAGATATCGTGATTGCGGTCACGGACAGTTCTGTTTTGAGTGTGTGGAATCCCTTCATCGAACGAGGAATGTTTTCCATTTGGTTGAAGTATGGAAGGTAAGTTTAATTCTTTCTGGCGCCACAGATGAATCCCTGTAAAATTTGCCTGCCAGCAAAACATAAACAAGTTAAGTCGTCTGTTAGAAGGCAATTCTAGGTGATTATTTCCAAAAGTCAATTCTTCAGATGAAATATTTTTGCTTTTTACATTTGGAATTTGGCTTGTTAAGATCTAGTATTCATCAAATGCCGGCAATTTTTTACAACCATGTGTTAACTCTACTGTAACTTAATCTGTAGTATTTTGTTAAAATTATCAATCATTTTCAAGAATGATATGCTACTATATGCTGTGCATGGTGCCTTATGTAATGTATACGTGTTCTGATGCTTAAATAACTACTCTTTAGACTGATTGTGAAATGTTTGTTCTGTTATTTTTTGGTGGTATATTACGTGACAGTCAGCATGGTAACTGCTCTTCAACAGAATCACATACTATAATATGTGTGGATGGAAAAGGTACAGTATGGCAACAATGACAGTATTTTCACTTTGACTACATGTAAATGTGTATATATTAGTCATACTGTTAAGTATTAGCTTCATTTAGGCTAATAATTTCTATGTTAATTATTTGCATATCAAATAATCCAATTTTTAATCCCATACAAAATTTAGGTTGGCAGCATTTAAAAATTGTTGAATTCTGTCAGTGTATTAAGGATGCTGAAAAACTAATTAAACTCCAGCTGTGACCAGGCTCATCTTCTAAACCCCAAATTGCATTTCACTTTGACTTCATGGATTTTGCTGAAAAATACTTGCTTTAGAGCCATGTATCCTTGCACAAATTTTGCAGCACTGTTGAAGTTGAATATCCTGAAATGCTACCTAGACTGGTATGTATTTCTCATAAACCTGAATTGCACCCATATGATAGTCTACCCATCAAATAGTGGAAATAGATGGGTTGTACTTTGCAAAAAATTTATTGAATCACTGTTATTTACAAACAACATAAACAATGCGGTTACCTCAAATAAGGTAAGAGCACATTCAAATTGTACATGAAGATTCCTTTGCTGTTATGACATTGTGTATTTAACCTTATTTTATTCTTGAAACAAATGCACAAGTTTACTAGGTGTTCATTTTGTTCTTGTTAAGGTCAAAACATATATATTGTGTTAAACAATGGATCATTCGATGAATACAGGTATGTTATATGCAATAAAACAAAAGTCTATTTACAGTTATTGTAGACCTAATAGTTAGATTATATGTGTAGAGTAGTACAGTCTAACCTGTTTTAAGTACACACCATGGGACAACAGACTAGTGTCAGCTTAATGAAAGTGTCAGCTTAATGAAAATGTCAGCTTGATTGAGGTTTCATCATTATACTTTCATCATTATTAGCTATATGAGATTAAATTTTGGATTTTACACAGTATCTGCTTAGTACAGGGTCATTTGATACAGGAGGTTTGACTGTATATATTATATCATTTAAGAATTTGATTTTTTTGTCAGATATTTCAAACGCCAAGTCAGATCATTAAAGTTCGTAAAGAAAGACCTGATTGATTATAGAAATTGCCCTCTTTGCCCACAAGTCAGTATTTGATTTCTTTTTTCCTACTATTTGCTTTGTGAACTATTTTAAATTATATATTTTCTATCACATATACTATCAAAACATTTAAAGTTGTTGTAAAATATGAAGTGTTACATGTTTACCATAAAATTCATTTCATTTTATTAAAGAGCTTTGTTTGCTTTAGACTGGTGAGTTAGGTGTGGCCATTCATTCCATGGATGCTCGCTTTGGTCTAACTTGTAAAAAGTTGGAAGGGAATAGTTTTGCTGTCCCAAACCATGGCTGCCTTAAGTTTGCTGATCAGGATGAAGTAGATGATTTTGTTGATCATTATAGCAAGTCTAATAACAAAGTAGGACAGGTAATTATTGCATCATGAAGGACTTTGAAGCCTATTAAAAAGTATTCTGGAAAGGGGGGGGGGGAGTGAATAGTTTGAAAACAAACTTTATATGTAGTCCATGGAAAAGCAATGGCAAAGCCTGCACTTTTTTACTTTTACATTGCAAATATTTTTGTATTTAATCACTGGAAAAACAATGAATGGATTTGATTTTCTTCAGAAATTATTAACAATTTTGCCAATGAATTTGCATTGTAAGAGTAAAAGATTGGGCAGGCTTTGCCATTGAGAAAAGTGGGTCTATGCTTCATGCAGGTCCATGGGCCCTGATACATACGTAAGTAGCTACGTGGATTTAAAATCAAAATTACAAACAGCCAATTTTTTTCTTTTCCTTTAATTGATCATGTTTATGCATTGTCTATGTCTTGATTGTGTAAACTGTCATGTTTATTTTTACAGTAATAAAACAGTTTTTATATATGCGCTAATCTATAATGTGCTGCAACTTCTTTTAGAGTTGTCAGATATTTAAGGCAGGAGAAGTTAGAGAAGCACTTCACTCCAAAGGAAAAAATCAACTGTTTGATGAAAAAGTGGTGTTTGGTAGTTGTTGCAGTCGGCATTCACACCCTTGACGATTTTTCAGCACTAAATATGGCGAAAGGTTAGTGTCTTAGACTTGGTTTGCACGTAATTATCAATATTGTTGATCTTTGATGAGGTAGTATGGAGAACAAATCGTCGAGTTATAATTTCTTTTCCTGTGTCAATTTTGAAATAAAGGGACAAAGGACAAAACGATTTTGTGCTAACGAGATCTATTGTTACCCTTTAATAATATTTATTGTCTTATTATTAATATTCAGAATTTCGTATTTGCTGTTCCTATTGCAAAGCATTTTAAAAGATGCTGACCAAAGTCCTGGTGTTGATTTAATAATAATGTATATTGGATGTGTATTATCATCATATTTAAAGGTATTTTAATTTTGGCATATATGATGTGGGACAAGTTCATTCACCAACTAAACTTTGAATAAATTGGTACCGTTCTAGGCAAACAAGAGGCATGACATTTTGTCAAGTGTCATTTTCGGTGCCGATATTTCATTGTTATGGACACAAGGCTTCATGCCAGGTAATGAATAAAGCTTTGTACCTGGAAGTTACAGGGATGGATTAAGAGGCGGGATAGCGGAGGAATGTGCTCTCCTCCAACCTTGATTAGTGGAGATGGTTGATGAGTGGCAGTTTCCCTATGAAATTTAGGCATACCAAACAATCAAGGGATCGTAATTGGAGTTTATGGAGCACAATTTCAAAAATCTCCTATCATTGTCTCTAAGTAACAAAATTTAACGAAAAATGTTAGGCATGTTACGGCAACAAGCAGCCACCAGAATCTTATCCAAACTAGAGCACCTCGCTTCTTCAGACGCTTATTCACTTATCTCGAAGAAATTTTAGCAATGCAGGTGCTTGAATATTGTCATTGCTCTATGTGTAACTATTGTCGACAATGAAAATGTTTCTATTTCTTTGTTGCGCCTTAATTATTTCAATTTCTGTATATGATTTGTTTCAGTAAAATCATTAACGTCGAAGCTTAAAAATGTCTACAACTTAAAATTAAAACGCAACAAGAAATGAAGGATTTATTTAGCGAACTACCTGGTAAGTAGTTCTGGTAGGTTAGAAATTTCTTATGTTTTGTGACCGAAAAGTATTTAAGGTTTCTTTGCCTAACCAAACTCTCAACTGAATTTGCATCCTAGGAAAATATGTCGTTATTTAGTAAAGGCTTCTTCATCGAATTTAAAATCTGTGATGAAAAGATAAAGATTTATTAGTATTGATTGTACTTCAAAATAGCCTACTTGTTTTTACGAAATACCTTACTAAAAAACGAGATTTTTTTAATGTATGGGAAAATAAAAAACCTGTAGCATATATAGTTACATACTTATTTATTTTGTTTGTTAGTGACGTACGATGCTGAGATTGTTTGTCAGTGGGAGGCCAGAGAGAAGGAAATTATGTCAAGAGTCAACCCAGGTATATAATGTTATTCATGGGAAATAGTTTCATTCTTAACAATTCAGTCTGTTAGATATAAAGACATACTTTTCAAATACAGAACATAAAGAAACCACGGAGAACTGGAAAGTGAGGTACGTTCAACAGCTACTGCATTTTAAACAACTTAGGTAGGTTCTTTAATGTACTAAACTGGCGCTTTCTCTATAATACATGCCTATAGACGTTTTAATATTTCTTTTGAGCCTGATTGGTGAATTATTTAAATTCTTAGTGCTACATCATTCGGATGTTTTGAAGAAAACCAGGAAATAACTCTGAAGATTACTCAATTCATCAGATGTCGAAAAACTGTACCAGTATGTATAAATGTGTCAAAGAAATATTTTGCTAAAAAGTTTTTTTACATAGGCGCAAAATTTATGTAAACAGGTTTCAAAACATTATAAAGATATTGAACGAAAGCATTCTGTAAACGAAAGATGGAAACCTGGTCATCCTAGTTGTGATGTCGTTGCATTGCAAGTCATACAAAGAAAACGAAAAGATACTATCGGAGCTTTACATGGACTTTCCATCGAAAGGTATTTCTTAATAACATTGAGAAAGAAGTATGCAGGTACTTTAATGCACTGTAAATTTCAGATACAACCTAAGCTATGTTACCATATCTGTCTTTTGTTGTTCTTGTAAATGTTAATTTTGTATTCTTTTACTTGTTTAGATGGTCACGAACAAGATGAAATTAACAATTGAGAAACACAATGCTGCCATTGATTCTCTTCGTGATTTTATAAACAGTTTACCCGATCGTCTGACATTTGACAAAACGAAAGATCCTACACCTGACCTTTATGAGGGATTTGAGTCTGGTGAGGATGACATTCTAGGGGAATCCTCGGTCCCAGTATACACAAAGAGGAAAGCTATTGAAATGTACTTAATCCTAAAACGATGTGACGAAAGAGAAACTTTTAAACTTGGAAAGAAACTTCTATTGTATTACACCAATCTTAGCTCAAAATTGATGAAGCACTTGCTGAGGTTTTCAACTTAACCAATGATGTCAACATTCCCAATGAATCTGGCTTTCAACATGAGGAATCCGATACTGAAGATGAAAACATCGAAGAGCTCTCAGAAGTGGACAGTGACATTGAATAGACGACATAGCTACTATTCGTAAACTAATAGCTACTTTTTATTTACTTACTTATTATGTAATTTAGTTGTTCACGTATCTAGTATAATAACTGATATCACGCAAACATTTGTGGTTTTGTGACGTCATGTTAGTACACAGTCATTTTCTCTTCTTCTGTAGTTTTGACCGTCGTTGAATTTTTTTGACCGGAAGTTTTGACCGTCGTTGAATTGTGAAAGAACTATGTTCTTTATTATTTATCAATGTCTTACAAGTAAGAGTTTATATGCGACATATATCCCAACCAATTAGCTCTGTCTGCCAAACCCAATTCATCTAAAATTGTGAGCATTCATATCATATATAAAATAGCTGAGACGTATCCAAAGCTTGATCAATTGATCAACGGGGTCTGGGGCGAGTTTTTGAAAACACCGAATTTCATGATTTGTCCGTCTAAATCATCCAATTTGTTTCTTAACGTTATAAGCCTTCCCATGTTTCATATTTTGCTCGAGATTAACTCCAAACAGATGACTAACTTTACCGATGTTCAAACTAACGAAACGATGCTGACGAGAAAGTGCGGTCTGGTTCGGCACCCTTGATGGCACTGTCGCTGTTAGAGGTGAAGGAGAAATGAATCCGAATACGTGTTTGGATTGAAATAATATAAAATTCAAAATTATTAATCTACGTAACTGAGTACTGTTGCCATTTCACAGAACACGTAAGCCATTTTACAGATCGAACACTCTTGTCATGTTGCACGTCTGCCGTAATCATTGCAGGTATTAGGTATCACGCATTCTTGCCGTGAGCTTCAAATATTCTCTACGCAATACCAACCCTCCCTACAAGCACATGCTGAAGTAACATTCTGTTGTTAAGAAAGAGCGTGATCGGTTTTTGGGGAGGGTGGTTTATTATAGGATGCTACATACTCTGCTGCTATAAGGTCTATGCTATAAGGGTCCATGCACTAACTAAAAAAATCAATATTTTATTTGAAACATAATTTGTTAAAAAAATTTAAAGCCACAACTATTAACTATTTGCTGTAACAAAACATTGCTTCTGGCTACTGCAATACTTTTGTGTATCAATCCCATATGCTCGATGATATTGGATTATGCGATGCTGTTTATTTCACAAAAAGCACCGTAAAGTGGAAATGTCGACGCAGCGCAATTCGAATTTCGAAATGTTAAAAGTGGAATTCATTTGAGTGCTCGTTTGTACCGAAAATTAATTTATCAACGGCCAGGGCGTTTAATCAATTCTAGATGTTGTGTTGCAGCGAAATGAAAAGAGAGACGTGTATATTAGTTGTTTGTGCGAACAAATAAAACAAACTAAACTTCTTATAAGCCAAATTGTGAACCCACTATAATTAATATATCATAATGGTAATGTTGTGAAGGGGGTGGGTGTTTATCGAGGACGGGACTTTGATTAGTAAGTGGCGTTGCAAGGAGGGGGGGGGGGCGTTTAATTTGTATAAGGTGTTAATATAATATAGGGCGTTTATTAGATCTTACGTCACATATGCTCATATATTATCTGAGAAATACAATTTGGCTTATGCAAACCAATGAGACCTTTGGAAAAAACTTGAGCGCAGTTCAGTGCAAGCAGGAGACTGAAGTTCTTCGGTTATAAATTTACATCGATATGCAAAATCTTTTTGGTTAAAAGATTGATTTGATTGGTTGAGTTGAAATCGGTTTGCACAGGCTAATGCAAACACGGCTATCGACCAATCAGCGAGCGGGTACTACTGTTTTTATTTTATTAGATTAAACAAACCTTGGCCTTCATAAGTCTTAATTCATATACTATTTCATTCAATAATTGTTTAATATCACGCTAAACAAATTGTATATAATAAATCTAATCATGCAGTTTGAGTTAAAAATTAAAACTTGAACAAATCTAATACACTAAAATGAACGTTTTTAAAGATACGCATTATTCGTGTAAAAAAATTAATGCCCAACATAAAGTTTTGATTAGAGCCATAGAAATAGACCAAAAAAAATTGTAAAATTGAGTTTATTGTAACGTTTCGTTTTTACTCAAGACATCTTCAGACAAATAATAAATAGGATGTTAAGACAAGATATTATATTTACAAAAAGGTGTTAAATTACTACTAAAGAAGGCGGTGTCAAATGGATTATATGATAAGGAAGTTAGGAAGTAAAATAAAGAGAAATTAAAGAGGTCAAGTGGAATGGAGTTTCCTTGCATGTTAAGTGAAGGCTTGTATTTATTGATTAGAAGGCTCACATGAATGGAGAGTCATAAGAATCGTTAGAAGAGGAGATTATTTTAAAGTCGTCTAAGTTGGGGGTGTGTCCAGTTGCGTTAATGTGAGCAAAGATGCTTGATAACGCAGGGTGGGAAACTTGGTTGCCTGTAAGGGGTATCCGAAGATCTGGTGTGTAGATGACGTGTGGTTTGACACATACGAAGCGTTGCAGCTTCGAGACTTGAATAAATAGACTACACCAGATCTCAGAGGTTTGGGAATTTTGTCCTTAAGGAAGAAAGAAGATACGTTAGGAAGGGCGGAAAACAAATTTAATAGATGTATGTGGGAAGGCTGCAGCACAAAGGCTATTGATTTGTATGCCGGTGAAAGGAAGACAAAAGAGATGGGCATTTTGTGAGCAGTCAAAACAGGTGGTTTGGGGCAAGGTGTTGTTAAGTGACGTGTGATTTGGTCAATTATACGTAAAGGAAAACCGTTTTTGGTGAGTGACTTTCTGGCAAATTCGAGTTGTATATGAAAATTTTCGTAATTAGAACAAAGATTGAAGATGCCATGAAGTAAGCAGGAGACTAGTGAAAGTTTGTTAGTATGTGGGATGAAGCTGTGGAAGTTAGTGAAGAGGCAAGTGAAACTAGGTTTGCGGTAGACGGAAGTGGTTTGAATGAAGATGGACATTTATTAAGCCAGGATTGTTGGTGAAAGGACATGAATATATCAACAAAGAGAGGGCCCAATGGACTGCCCATAGCCAAACCAACAATTTGCTGGTACATTTTCCGTTAAAGCTAAAGTGACAGTTCTTAACAGATAGAGAGTAGTTTTCAAATTCTGTTGCAGTGAATCCGTTGAGTACTGGTGGTTGTTAAAAATGCTATTGGACATTATGCGGATGGTTCCGTCAACAGGTATATTAGTAAATAGGGATACGACATCAAAACTAGAAAGGACAACATTACTGGAGTTGATATCGCAATTTAGGATTTCTTCAACAAAGGAGAAAGAATCTTTGATGATGAGGTTATAGTGAGGGTTTAGGAGTGGGATAAAACTTTGCTAGTTTATACGAATAGTGATTAATGGAGGAAAGAATGGGTCTGAGAGGGATGGTACATTTATATATTTTAGGAAGACCATACAATATACCTATTCGTGAATCAGTATGGTAAAGTTCTTTGTAAGTTTCTTGGCCGATAGATTTAGCATCTTTTAACTTTTTTAATAAAGACTTCACTTGATTTTGTCGCTGTAAAGTGACTTTTACTGGATCTCCATAAAGAGGTTGAAACTTTGTAGTGTCAGATAAGAGTGAGTCTATTTTCTTTACATAGTCGTCTTTGTTAAGTATTGCAATACCATTTCCTTTGTCAGGTTTAGTGATGAGGATAGTTCTGTCGTTTTTTAAATTATTAAGTCTTCTTGTGAGTATAGGAAAGGTGGTGGGCTGTAACTTCGGAAACCTGAGTGGGCAATGTCTTTTAATTTGCATTTGATCGAGTCTGAAAAAATCCCGATGATTCATAAACAGGTTCTCGTATAAGACGGTTGTAGAGTTTTTCAAAGGGTGTTATGAAGGTGCAAATGCTTAACTTTTTCGGTGGGATGGTTCAACCGACGCTACGGTGACGACTGTTTTTTACTTTTTCATTCCTCCGATCACGTCCCTTTCTTTCTTGACTATCTAAACCGACAGCACCCTAACATCACATTTACAGCTGAAGTCAAACAGAAAACAGAAAACTATCATTTCTTGACATTGACATCTCTCGCACTAATGGAAAATTCACAACTTCCGTCTACCGCAAACCTACTTTCACTGGCCTCTTCACTAACTTCCACAAATTCATCCCACATACTAACAAACTTTCACTAGTCTCCTGCTAACTTCACCGCATCTTCAACCTTTGTTCTACTTACGAAAATTTTCATACACAACTCGAATTTACCAGAAAGTCACTCATCAAAAACGGTTTTCCTTCACGTATAATTGACCAAATCACACGTCACTTCCTTAACAACACCTTTCCCCCAAACCACCTGTTATGACTGCTCACAAAATGCCCATCTCTTTTTGTCTTCCTTTCACCGGCATACAAATCAATAGCCTTTGTGCTGCAGCCTTCCCACATATATCTATCAAATTTGTTTTCCGCACTTCCCAACGTTATCTCTTCTTTCTTCCCCTTTAAGGACAAAATTCCCAAACCTCTGAGATCTGGTGTAGTCTATTTATTCAAGTCTCGAAGCTGCAACGCCTCGTATGTGGGTCAAACCACACGTCATCTACACACCAGATCTTCAGACACTGAATATCGCCCCTTACAGGCAACAAGTTTTACCATCCTGCGTTATCAAGCATCTTTGCTCACATTAACGCAACTGGACACACCCCCAACTTAGACGACTTTAAAATAATCTCCTCTTCTAACGATTCTTATGAACTCTCCATTCATGAGAGCTTTCTAATCAATAAATACAAGCCTTCACTTAACGTGCAAGGAAACTCCATTCCACTTAACCTCTTTTAATTTCTTTATATTACTTCCTAACTTCCTTATCATATAATCCACTTGACACCGCCTCCTTTAGTAGTAATTTAACACTTTTTTGTAAATATAATATCTTGTCTTAACATTCTATTTATTATTTTTCTGAAGATATCTGGAGTAAAGACGAAACGTTACAATAAATTCAATTTTACAATTTTTCTATGGCTCTAATCAAAACTTTATGTTGGGCTAATTTTATTACACGAATCCGATTTCCGCTCAGCAAGTTTCTCGCTACTATTTTAAATGATGCGCATTATGTATATGTATGTATCCATTTTATTTTGCTTTACTTATAATTGAAGGACAATGAAAGACACATGCTCACTTTCTTTATAAGTGCACATGCCAATAATTTTATTGTGTATTTTTCTCAACTTACACAGACAAGAAAATACAAATATGTTAACTATGAGATTACGGAGTAAAATAAGTTGAGTTCTCCCTGTCTAAGTTTAGAAAATCAAACAAAGTAAAAATGGCATCTATATACTTTACACCCAGCAATCTATGATGATAATGACATGTTACCCTAAATCTGGAACCACCTTGCTTGCCTGGAGCATATTTTAAAAATTCGGCAATTTGCTCTTCAACGTTGACCTCGCTGCATCATTTATGGCTTTGACGCACGCTTCTAAAAAGTGAAACGAAACAGAAAAGACATACTTTAAATATATTGCATAGTTAAAACACTAAATCGTAAGCTGAATGATAAACAACAATTCATTATAGTGATATATGCAGAACAGTTTAATGTATTAGCTTTTAAAACTTGATACAATATTCCTTACGATAAGGAGCAACATAAATGGCTGTTTTTCCAATTCACGAACGACAAAAAAGAGACAAAACATGGTACTGCTGCAGCAATCATTATCGTCTAATTGTGCTTACTTGTTATAACTTTGCAGAGGGCAAGGTGTTGAAATGTTCGCTTTGACTTCGTGCCTTTTAAACTATATTGGGACCATAGATTATTTGTTCCCAGCTTTGTCATAATTCTTCTAACACTGTTTGCAAAGGTGTTTGCGCACAGTGCTACCAAAAACTGCAGCTAGTAAAGAGAGTAAAAGATAAATTATATGGAAAAGTTCAATATAGACATATATATATATATATAACCGTTTTGATCTCGAATTGCAAAACAAAACCATCCAAAGTGAATGGTGAGAGCTTTTAGAAAGACCAGTTTCTTCGTTTAAATTTTTTAGCGCAAATGAAACGACACACTCCTAAGAGCCGTTTGAAGGATCGTAACGTATGTAAATCGACCAGAACACGACAATGCTCTTACGAAAAACACGATGCTGGATTCATATAGCTTAATCAGATAATCTGACCCCCAAACGTCATGAAAATCGTAGATAAAATTACGTTTCAGACTTTGACAAACGTGCATGTTTACAAGCTTCAAACACAAATGGTAGAAGAAAAGTCAATATTATGTTACGTAATTGCAAATGAAACTATCGTTTTCACCTTTCCAAACAGATAAAGGGGAAGGGCTATGCCCTCCTTAGTCACATTTTTTACGTAACACTTGAAAGAGTCATGCATAAAAAATAGGCGGTGATAATAAATATTACTAAATACGTATGGGTGGTTAACTTTCCAAAACTTACCAACTTTCTTCTGGACTTTTCTTCATCAAGACTAGAGAATAGGTCCTCAAGTTCTTCAACCGAATCTAAGGGATTAGGTAGAACATCTTCCAAAATTTCGTGCTCGTCTACACCTTTCGTAGCGCTTAACAGAGCACGCAATATTGACAACGCTTCTTCTTGCTTATCAATTAATGTTTCCAGTTTGGTGAGAACTGATCTTTGGAAGCCTACAAGACAGATAAGAAAATAATAGAATAACTTATGTATAACCTACGTAATATCTTAAAAATATAAAACCTTACAACATGTACTAACAATAAAATTAAAATAAAACTCATCAAATTGCTAATTGAATACGCACAAAATAACAACGCTATTCAAAAAATATATATGCAGAAAAAGGTACCATTATTCTTTGGTTGAGAACGTCTTCCTGCAGGTGTTATGTACATAAAACTTGTCGAAGGCGTTTCGTGCGATGAAAGGTCATGCGCATCTGCAAAAGCAATCACGTGTTGCAGTTAGTTGTGAAAGAAAAACAACATTTCAAACGACACGAAATGAACGTAAATGAAAACGTAACAACAAGACATGCAATAATGAATTGTAAGAAAAGCTTGCCTAAAGACACCTGCTTCGTTGAGAATGTCTTTCTCTTGTTGTGCCAGTTGTAGGAATTCCTTGAAGAGACGTTGCCCTTATCTACAGAAGACACGTACTGGGTTTAACATATATCTTTATTGCACGCACGAACGTCATTTAAATTAAGGCACTATAAGTTTCAAAAGTCAGAAACAGAAAGATGACTAAAATAAAAAACCTCGAGAAGTTTCATTTGGTAGTTTGATAGCAAACGCTGAGAATTAGATTTGAACGAATGTATTTTGATTAAATCGTGGTGAACGCAACTGCAATTTTAACTGTAACTAACATTTTTTCAACTAATTACAACAACATTTTAAAGGACGAACGCCTACAGCACCTGTAGAACATACATAAGCCCTATAATGCAACGATGTACGTAGAAAAACAGTAAATATCTAATACGAACGTTAAAGTTATTTAAAAAGAATAAATCAAAATTATTTCAAAAATTCAGTCGACATATTAGATGAAAGTTGTTGATTAGTCAGTTCTGATGACAGAAAACTTACCACTACGCTGAGATGGTGTCTTACTAGTAGATGTGGAAGTTATTGCATGATCCTTTGTGTTTAGGATTTCTGGTGCTAGTTCACCGTCATATAAATCTAGATCAACATTATATAAGGATGAAAAGAGAAATTTTCTACATGCATGTTTCTGTCAAAAAATTGTCCACTTGTACAAGGATTATAATTGCGCTCATACCTTTTTCTGCAAGGGAGATCAGCTCGCGGTACACCGGAAAATCTAAAAAGCAAAATCTCTTATTAGATTTAAATGCAACGTAGCAATATGTGAAAAACTGCACTCCTTTGAATAAAGCAATGGCCTATTGCATTTCAACTACAGTACTTCTTTCTAGAGTTTGTTGATAAGATTTCATTGACGGCTGTTATCATATTACTTTCAGAAGATTGCAATAAATGCTTACTGTTCGCACTAAAAGATGCGTAACGTGGAGCAGGAGGTAACTGAGGGGCTCTTTGTTGAATTACGGGTTCATCACTGTCATCATCGTCTGATGAGAAAAAATACCCGATCATCGCAAAACAATGTTTATTGAGTACTCAAGCTATACTAAAAATACTAAAATATGGTTAATTTAATGCTTGCCAAATGTTAGGAATGACGATACATTATATGTGTATTAAACTAAGTATAAGATATCTGATCATAGAACTAGTCACATGATCTGGTAAGCACTTCTTATTGTATGCTAATTGTTATCTTCTGTTCTGCTCTATACCGCATGGTTTAGGACAACGCTCATTATGAAACTTAAATTATTAAATATATGTTGTTTTGTTTCTGCTTTAATAATAAATTAACACCAAAGATGTAACATTTAAGAAACTACGGCAATACATTTAGTCTTAATCCTTTCTTTTCCCATCTTAAGGAAGAAGACATAGCCAAATTCAAAAAACTTATTGTGTTTCGCACACAAGACCCTCTATTGATTACAGCCATATACGCACGTAAGTAGTTAAAACAGTAGAAATAAAACAATTTTCTGTGTTACTGTGTACGTAAGTTGTTGTGATCGGAGAGAAATATCTAGAATACCATATAACCTACTTTCTATGTTAGTGTAATCTGGAAATTCTTCCATACTCCTTTTGAGACGAGGACGTTTTCGTGGCTTGTCGTTGATTGACTCATCATCTGATTCAATGTTTGAAGTGGCAATGGCTGTTCTAGCGAACTTTTGGGCACTTTTACAGTTGTCTAAGTAAAAGAAAGGTTTAAATTCAGAAAACAGAGCATTAAATCGTTTATAGCACTTTAGAGGCTTCAGTGGAGAAAGCCAATTATCTACATTTTATATCTTATTGAAAAATATTCTTTTACCAATGTTTTTATACGTGTATAACTTAATAAATTAGGTTAGGTGTACTGCAATATATAACGTACAGTACGTATGCTTCATTTGAATATTATGTAAAGTGTAGCAACAGAAACAACAAATGTTGTGCATACCTTACACATTATCGACATATTGTTGAATTTGTTCTTGTTGTTTTATAAGCTCCTGAAGCAGCTTATCGTGCTTCAAATAAACCTCTTCACACAGTTCAACAGCCTTTTTCTCTAGTTTGTCTGAGACAACCTTTAAGATGTTATCTTGCTGCAACGCAATCGAGAGCTTTCTTTCCTTCAGTTAAATTTCCCTCCATTTTGGCAGTAATCGAAATGAGTTTATCGAGCTGAGTTGCGGCAACCTCCTGCACTGATATACAGGAGTGATTCTGTTACATGTGATAAAGTAGCAGGCAATCATTGCAACACAATTCCTACAAGATATATACAGATAATAGAGTAAAAGACTAGTACACATAAAGTTATATATATTCCTGAAATATCCCCCAAGAAATGCATCCCTAAAGTTCATTCGCTGAAAGCAGAGAACTTTCTACAGAAGGTTAAAGAAAGAGACTGAGATCACAGGAGGGAATTTATCTATAAAATGCTCTTTCTAGGTTAAACAGTACAAAAGCAAACAAACAACGATCTACCTTGCATGTTTCACAGTAAAACCTCAAACTTTCCCAGGATGCTTTTGACAATAACCTATCCTCTTAATTTTTGCCTGACCTTCAGGAGTGTCGAGTTCGTCAATGGATAGCACAGTATGCTGGTTCTGTCCAGGAAATTTGTTATGCAAAGTCTTACAATCTTCACACATGAAGATTTTACATTCAGAACAATGGTGGAGTCCAGGATTATCACATAATTGACACTTGCATCCCTAACAAAAACATATGTAAATACTGTTATCGCTATTCTTGGAATGATGATTGAAATATCGTACAATTCAATGGTGTACATAGCTTGTCCGATGATTTAGAAGGCATATTTAAATGAACAATCTTCAAACACATCATTGTACTGTTCTTCCGTGTAAATATAGTTCAAACAACAGAATACTTTTACAAGGCGATGAGTTGATTATTCTTTTAAAATATCATATTTTTTAATGTAAACAGAAAAAAATGAATAATTTTTGGAATTAAAAATACAAAAAACGATAATGGTTTTGTCAGATAATAATCAAAAGGCATAGATAGTTTTCGCACGACGTCATAGCCACCAATTTAAAACCACCTTGAAGAATAATGACGTTCAATGTTTGATACAGTGGTCGATTACTAAGTACGCTAAAGTAGGCTGAAGTCTACAGGCCCAGGCTTTCAAGAGAAACGTTGTATCTAAACATAATTAGTTTTCAGTTATTGCCATTCCGGACTAGTTTAATGTTTTTAATTTAGACCATTCATGCTGTTAAGGACTGTATGATCTACTGTTGAATCTATTCACGGATAATCAGAACTCGTGAATTAGTGGGTTTTCCAGTTTCAACTTTGAATTTATCCCTTATAGCTGATACTATGATCTACAACAACAAGCTGGGAAATGCAAATGTAAAGGAGAGCAAGGAACGTAAATGTCATCAAGAGATTGAATTTAGTGGAAGAACGGATATTCAAGTAAATGTGCAACAACTTTGTCTGAGCCTGCAGGCCGCGTAATTATTAATCCGCAGTCTGCGCCACTGGTTTGATACCACCAATATGGCTGCTTCCTCCACTATCATGTAGATCCCTAAGGAATAAGGAATGAGTGAAAACGATCTATTTTTAAATAAAGACTTTCGGATAGAAAAAACGCAACCTTAAAGGCGACTATTTTCATAAAGGTGCTGCATATTCAAATTAAATATCATTCGTAAAATAGCAATCAGTACAATTTAAAATGCATCCGTAACATGGAACGAATGCATAGAGGCAATGGTCAATCTGATTCTATAATTCAGATCGACAGTCAGGTTCTATATAATAATGTATAACAGTAATGCAAACTTTCATAAAACATCAGCTAGTATTTGCGTCGGTTGAAAAGCAATAGGAAACTCCAATAAGCGTACGGGAGCTATCAATTCAGGGGAAGCAAAAAATATTTTGCGCAACTCACAAAGAAGGTTCTGTCGTATTTTCGCCAGGCTAAAGTTAAAAATTTGCTCAACTTGTCAATCTTTAAAGTTTTTGGGGGTGGTGGGGGGACTCCGATGGCGTATTAGCCAGGTTGTCTTGACTGAGCCAAGTAGTAAATTTGTTAATGCTAAGTAAATATTTTCATTATCATCATTATTCATTTATTAAGAAGCCTATTGTTTTTACATAGAGTTAACACCTACTGTAAATATTTATATAGTTTGATGTGTCGAAAGCCAACAAGTCTTCGACTCTATGTTATCGAAATAGATATGAAAGTTGCTGTTTATTTAATATTTACTACTTGAGTTGTTCATGCCTGTGTTACATAATGCAACTATTAATATAGCAGTTTGAAATTGGATTCGTTATACACCTGCTATATATACTCCCATTTTTATATATTCACAATTTTAAAAATCTCAAAATTGTTTATTAGAATTAATGATGGAAACCTGAAAAGTGATCCCCAACCCAATTATCTCCTTGGCTATGTCACTGGATAAAACTCCTTTTGGTGACTAAATTTCCTTTTTTTCACAATGTTACTTTTTTGAAAATGTCAAGCAAATCTGGAAATTCAAATTTTTGCTTAGAATGTCTGAATTTTAAAGATTTAGATTCAGTCGAAAAGCTAGCCTTATTATTTAGCCCTGCAGTGTAAGTTTGTATGTGCTCACTCACTTGAAAAACAATAGATTACTAAGGAAATATATAATGACAATGAATTGCTATTTACATAGCAGAACTAAAACTTGAGGTGTAGATTTATTGGCCCCTATCTGCAAATTAACCTTAGCAGTGGTAGTCTGCTTGCCTCGATTAAGTTCTGCTATGGAAATTCCATTCGTTTTATCCACTAATCCGAACATTTGTCACACTCAAACATGGAACATAATTTCAGTTTCAGCATTTGTATATAGCGACCATTGCAATGTAAGAAAATGATTTGAACTACTCTGATGGACCAAGCTGAAATACAAATTAATGCAAATCTGATAGATAGTTCCTTCTTCTAACAATAAAAAGGATACAGAATGTTATGAAATAACTATTGTACAATATGCGCACAAAAAGGTCATGTCTCGGACTTCTTCAAAAAAAGCCATTTTATTTGGATAAGGGAATAAAACATGATGAAATGTTACAAATCATCAAAGAAAAAGTCTCACAACCGATGATTGACATTTGACAGTCATATGTCAAAAAAGCCATTTGGTTATGTTGACCAATCTACCAAATTAATGAATAAAGAAAAATGTACCAGAGCCATATGAATTCACTGCATTGCCAACCAGTACTAGCTTGATAAAGTTATGGGCATCAATTTAAATGTCCATTCAATGCATTTCATAAACAATACATACCGGTATACAAAAAAAACTAAAATGTCATGCAATGCTCATAATATGCACCTGATTTGATAACAATTTATGTATTATATAGTTTGTATTTAGATCCACGTAAAAATAAAAAACATGCTGGTTATTGTGTATTCATTAATAGCAAATCATATGAAGGAATTTAAAGCAATATATGTATACATTATTGCATAAAATGTTTAAATTGGGCGCAAAGATATGGCAAGCAGAAATATAGTAAATTCACTAAATTCCTGTCTTCGCCTCCAGGTTCAATATATACCATAGCGCGATGCCTGATTTTGATATATTATGTACATGAACCTTCTACAAGATGCCCATTCAAATTGCATCGGATGAGGGCAAGTATGTACATATTTCAAATTCAACTTACTTTACGAACAAATCCATTGGTTTGATTTGGGCTTTCAAATATTGCTTTAACATATCAACTCAAGAAACCCAACAGCGTTTTAGCCAAAGTTCTAAACAGCGCGTGGTCGGTTATTGCCATTCTAATATAAGCTGATTGTGCTGAAACGTTTGACACGTTGATCAATTGCGGAAATAATTAAATTCTGCGTGTCATTTATATTAATGTTAGGGTTTGTATGAAGTTAACTTATATCCAGATGTTGAAGGGCAAGATTTACAATAACTGTTTAATAGTTACATATTGATAAAACGACGAGTAGAAGATGTGAAAGTTGTATATTGATTTGGTATCAGTCAGCGCTGTAAGATCTAGTTCCGTTTCACAATTAATATTATGATAAGAAATATTCAAAAACATCATGTGACGAGACTGAATTGATTCTGCTCTAATATTTCCAACGTGATATTATTGATTTAACGTTTGGTTATTCTAGCGCTAATAAAGAATACAAGGCATTTAAAATGCATTTTAAATACTACAGCAAGTAGGACATTCAAGAAGAGAAGTGAGTTCGTGAGCAACACACTCCATTGTAGAACAAGGCAAGCGAACAAAGCAAAATAACCGCAGAGCTAACAATATTGACATACCATGCATATATTGTGACTTGGCAACCTCAATAAAGTGTGGAATAAAATGATGTCATAACTTCATTCACATAATTGCATTGGTGATTGTGATTGTGGCGAAATGCTCATATCCTTATTTCATCGTTTTATATGTTCTTTAATATTGTTTACTAAAGGTAAATGGTTGAAAACTTCTGATCACTTTATAAGTTTAAATGGTAAGTTTTGTAGGGCAAGATATCACGCTTAGCAAACGGTCAAGGTCATACTTTAGAAAGTATACGGTGAAAGGTCATTTCCTAATTTACGTGATTTTAAATCATGTTCTTTTTCGTTTTTGAGGTATCAACCTTTTTCTGTTTTATCAAAACTATTTTATAGTTAAATAAACTGATAGCATTGCTAAATGAAAGCACATTTGACCATTTTTGGAGAATATATTACAATGAAGTAAAAAATAAATTTAGAAAAAGAATAATTTACATTCCCTAATTTGAATGCCATAAAAACTTCAAAGAATTCAAATTAGAATGTAAACAGTGATGTGAAATAAAGAGTTTTACAGTTTAGGAGATCATTAGAGTTTTAAATGTTGTATCCACTTTAAAGTGGTACTATGACGAAAATTTTGCCTCTCGTTTTTTTTTCATAGATTGATAGTGTATGTAAAAAAATCTCTTCTGGCGAAATTTTAGCGCAATGTATTTCATGCTGCTCGAGTTACGTAGCCATAAAACTTGAACTTTAAGAGCCGCCATTAAAATGCGCCATATTTGAATTTTCAAGAAGGAAGGTGCTTGTGACGTCATAGTCTTAACTCGCGGCTGTTTACAATATAACACTATATACAAATAGAGATTTAAAAGGTTGTATAACTCAATTTTTTTAACATGCCTTCAACACGCTTTGTCGTGCAAGATTGCAGTAATAAGTCTGATAGAAGTACAGGCATTTCATTACATAAAAGCCCAAACGGCGAGTCTTTGAGAAGAATTTGGGTTAAATTTCTCTAATCCGAGTTCGCGCAAAATTCGATTTATGATTTGTTCGAATCACTTCTCGGATGATTGTTTTGAGCGTTTATTCCATTTGGGTGGTATGACTAGACGGCTCAAACCTGGTGCCGTACCTACTATTTGGAAGAAATCACAAACACCAACAACGTCAAGAGAGCGAAGTTAGCACAAGTTGCAATTATTATATACTTACACATATTGCAGATGATAAATTTTCACAATTTGAGAGAACCAATAATACATCCAGGCAAACTTTCAATATATAATATACATTTATACTAAGGTTTTAAAGGAAATACAAAATGAAGTGTCTGTATCATGCGATGACCTTTGGTCTTTAAACCTAACGAAGCTGCTTGAAGAACAAATTCGTTCAGGCAAACTTCGTTAAAGCCAGGGTGATCCAAAATGCATTTCCTTTCATCGATTTCGAACTGATACATTTTACCACGGCATTGCTCTATTTCCATGCAGCATCGGCACTCTTGAGGGTTGACAACAAGATCCAACTAACAATGGCCACATTCACACCTTCAATATTGCCCAAATTGTATGTTTCCATAAAGTTATCATAGCTAACGGCAGACGATTCAGATCAAAATAACACACTAAGAATGACATCTTACCATGAAGTAACATCAACACGGGCATCAAAACGATCTTGCAGCATGTCTTCAACCCGCCGTTCTTCTGCGACTGTAGCTTTGTGCTTCGTACTTAGCAATTTTATCGGGCGAAGCAAGCGGTTCAATATTATCGACAAATGGCAAAATTTCTGAATTAGATTCGTTCGAATTTGCCGTCACAAATTCCGATGAAGAAATCGATACGTTGGTCTCGATCGAAGACTCAGAGAGCCAGCTAGATCTCGATGAATTTGACATTTTTTTGCTCTATTTATGTATTACTTTGTATACTTTCCAATGTGCGCTTCTTGCCGTGTTAAGACTATGACGTCACAGACCTTTGCTGATTGCAAATATTCAAAATGGCCGATTTTAATGGCGGACATGAAAATTAGACATTTCAAATGTTCATAACTCCCTCGTTATATAATTATTTTGCTTACATTTTACAGAAAGCAATAATTGATATGTGTTTAAACTATTGAATGCTAAAATCGATGATTTTTTAACGTTATGTTTTCGTCATAGAACCACTTTAAAGATATTAGACAGCTTTAGCAAACAAAGACAGCTTTATGTTGTTGTGAGTTAGAAGGCCTTGAAGAGGCAATGAGGAAGAAAGAATTGATACAAGATTTAGAAGCTGATGGCATACCACTTGAAAGCATTAGTTGTGTGACACAACATCCTGGGTTTAATCTTTTATGTCTGCAGAAGTGGAGCCTAAAATTAGCAGCAGATAAATATAAAACAAGGAGTAAAATCAAGTATTTGCAACAGACCACAACTGCAAAGTATAATAAGGTGTTAGATTATTTAGAAAATGGAGATCTACAAGTCAGGGTTACAATCAATAAGTGCATCAATGCATTGTTTCTAACTTATTTATGACTTTTCTATATTATCTGGCGTTGTTTGCTCCTGACCCGTGAATAGCCGATTATCTGGAAGCTTTGCAAACCCTGGAAACCGGTCCCTTCCTTCGTTGACTTATACGTTATTTAGGAAGAATAGGGCGGCCACAAGTGATTTACTCGGACAGTGGAGGAACATTTATCAAAGCCAAAAATTGCTAGGGCAGGTGAGAACGGACGAAATTTGCATGTGTTCGTGTAAGGGTAAGAAATATAGTGGAAGCTCAATCTGAGTTGCACACCCTGGTGTTGAGATCGATCCAAGCGCCTCATTGGGGTGGTAAAATCGGCGATGTACAATGTAATAGACGGAGGAAACCTTACTTCGGATGAGCTCGGTGACGGCCACTACTGTATGTCATGGATGACATGGAGATGCAAATTTTTACACCGACAAAGCTTTACATCAAAAGACCTGTCGCCTACCAAAACGAGAGGCATGGCGAATCAAATGGCAAGCGTTACTTATTGGAATGCAGAAAAAATGCGGAAAGGAGGTTAAATAAGTATTTGGTGGCGTTACGTGGACGACAGAGCATGTCTCATAAAACTACTTGCAAATTTGTGTCCGACCATTTTTCCTTCAGCTTAGTCAACTTCCCGTTTTTGTTAAGATCTATTCCAACCTATTTAACAGTACGAATTAAATATTCCTTTTTTTCGTTTCGAGCTTCTTTGCCAAACAAATATTTACATAGATGAAAACAAAACTCAATAAAACACGCTGATGCCGAGCAAAGACATCTACGAATGATTAAAAAGTCGTCGAACAAAATTTACTTTTTTATGGCTTTTTAGAGTCTCTTTTTCTTTAGGAAACCTATGCATTGATCTTAATTTTTATTTTTTCACGAACTGGCGAAATTTAACTAGTGTTATTGTCAACTAACATGACTAAAAAGAAACACGTTGCTTGACTTGTTTCAAGTTTCATGCATTATTAGACCAAACGAAATATAATTGACATTTTTGAGGTTGGCAGTGCTAAGTGCTAACAAAAACTGCTTATCATAAAAATCATTATTTCGCATATTAAGTTGTTTGTTGGTTTTTTAAGAAACAACAGACATACTAGCTATTTGCAGCAACTATAAAAATGAGTACATATTTACGAAAGTGTTGTAACAAAGACATTATTCAAGTTTTTTGGTAGTCACGTGCTTTGGAGTTCATACTAATCATTTAAAAAGTGACTAAGATTTTAAGCCTCTTTAGAAAAAGTTATTCACTTTGATATTACGATTTTGATTCTGACTCAAAAGCATAAATGATCATGATTAAAAAGACACATATTCAAATGGCGTCACTTTTAAGCCTTGGATAATTGGCCTTCTTTTGATTCGGAAACTACTAAATCAACACGCAAAATCATCTGGTCTGAAGCTAGCTGAACAAATTTTGAAAGCACTGGAAGGCTCTAATATGCGCTTTACCCTACTGAAATCAACCCAAATGTTTCGTCTTTGTTCAACCACGGCCTTTTCATCGTTATAATAAGGCATAGTGTAAAGACGTATACCATAGGCAAGGGATTATTCACAAGAGCTTGGTAGATGGAATTCAGCGAAGCGTTAAATTAGTTTAACAAATGGAAACATCAAATACTTCACAACAAAAAACCTATTTAAGCAATTTCTCTATGCTCTGACTTTGCAAATTCACAAAAACTTCAAAAGGAAGACAGACAACTGATTTATCCTGATTTAAAGTTACAACTAAAATGACATTTGACGCTTGTGAGAAAAGGTTTTAAGTTTGCACTAACGCTTTGAATCCTTTCAATTACTCATTTCACGCCGCGCAAATAAATATATAAATATGATTAGCTAAATACATAAAAAGCCTGTAAATTAATTGTAAGATAGAATACTAACGACTGTTGTAAATAACTTCTTCGCTAATGAATAAAATAATCACAAAATTTAATAGCATTCTAGTACATTGAACTCACGTTCGGAGCTCATACGAAAGACTTATATAACTCTAAAAACTCAATAGAGGTTTGAAGACTGTACTGGGT